GGGGGAGAGAAAGAGATGTTGAGAAAATAGAGAAAAGTGTAAAAGACAATGAGACAAAAATCTTTCATCTATTTTCAGTTCCTACTAACTTCCACAATCCCTCACAGGTGTTGGAGTTGTGCAACACCTTGGACCACAATTTACAAGTCAGTGTACCAAACCTCACCATGTGGCAAGATTAAAAAGCTCACTAGATGTTGGAGTTGTGCAACACCTTGGACCACAATTTATAAGTCAATTGACCAAACCTCACCATGTGGCAAGATTAAAAAGCTCACTAGATGTTTCTTGACAGCAACCAATACGACGTAGCTAAGGCAGGTCAAGAGGAAAAGGAAAGGCTGAACTGCAGTCCCTGCACTTCTATCTGTTACTCCTTTTTCATTTTTTTATGTTTGACCTGTTACTGGTGTTGACACCATTTAGGAAGGTTAGCCGATGCCTCCTCATCTTTTCTACTTCTTTAATAAATTCTTTCCCCCACATCACCGTTTCCACTCTTGCCGCCTATTATCTAACCATATATCACCATTCTACAACAGCAAGTCTTAATTGTCACGGTACCAAAAGTTTGAGGAATTAATGCAACAAGTTTGGAGACCAACCAGAAATTAACCTATAGTTAAGAAAGCCATGTAATTTACCCTAACAGTACAATACATTGAAATCCAGAAAAGGCTTTCATGGTCTTTCTGGTGAAAAGAACTCCATCTATTCGACATCCTAAACTGAAAAAAGTACTAGAAGTCTTTCTGCCATTTTTCCAATAGAACTATCTTCAGTGTAAGTATATTTAAAACTATTTGCACAGCAGTTTTTCTGCATAACACGATTTACAGTTACCAGACATGTTTGAATCCTCCAAGTCATAACTATTACTTAATTTCTAACAAGATCAATAAGAATAGTAGAAGGGATAAAAGAAAGCTCACATTTGGGCTTTTGAACACTACTCCAAACATGGAATTCAGCAAATATGAACAATCATGACCAAAGAAGCGATCACCTTTTGCCCCTATAGTTCACATATGGGCTTTAAAACAAGAAACAGAGAATCATATGCAGTTGCATACCTGTTGCTGGAGCAGCACACCGCTGTTTGCATGCCACGTAACTAACCCCAGTCAGGTAAATGCCAGTGTGCATTATGCCAATACAAAAGTATGCCTTAAATGAGCTAACAACCCTCTAATGTATAATACATATGTGCTAACACCTTGATTTATGACACGAAGATTTTCTTTGAAGGGTTGGAGCAGGAGTCTCCGCATAGCTGACTACTCGAGTTCTTTTACATTCACAGTAACCAGTCTTGTGCTACATGTGATGGCAACCTTAACAATATTTCTCATGTTTTATTTGATGGCTCACATGTCCATTATTTTGAGAAAAGAATCTTGTGCAAAATCAGTTGATCTTTTAAGCTTAGTATTTTCCGGGCAGGTCAATGATGCTTCACTCTCTGATGGTGAGCCCTTGCAGCATTCTAGTATTCTTTTTTCTCCAGATGTTATTATTACTTACACTTTATGGTTCATATGAATGATTACCATTAGCCAGTGGGAGATTAATCTTAATGCTTTGTCTTAATGATTTACTTGGAAGCTAAAGAATGATTTACATACCATAAATTGGATCATTGAGCTTATTCCTATCGGAAAAGAGTTATGTGAAATCCCATTTCCAAGGGAACAGTTAATGGCCCACACAAGTTGTCAGGTCAGAACCACCTCCCCTTGCCAACTCAAGTTGTATAGTGATATGTCTGTGGTTTAATTGCTAATGCAAGAACCAGAATTCCAATTCATACTCCCAATGGTTGTCAACTAATTGCAAAACATAACAACACGAGGACTACTAATATTTTTAAAGCTGAATCAGAGGCTTTAACAGATGTTCACGCTCTTGTTGAGTATATCTGGGTGGTCTAACACTCAAATTCTGATGTCTATTGGACAGAGGGAAGCCTCCTTGGAGAATCAAACACTATATCAGCAACTGTTTATACTAACTTGTTATGTAGACTGAAATCTGTCTTCATATCTTTTTAGAGAGTAATCAAGCAATCAATTGGCATGCTAATGAGGGAGAAGGATTGTTTCTTTTCGTGTCTAACCTATCTTGAGATCCAATATATCTAAAGCTGCTTGCATTCAGTTTCAAATTTATTTTGTTCTTAGAGAAAAAAAGTTTTGGTGAAACAGATGGCTCCTACCAATGGACAAGTAATGGCATAACCTTTGATAAAGAAGCAACTTTATAAATGGTCTACCTGTCATAATTGCAATGTCCTGAAGGATAGCCTTTCTCCTCTCACCAAAACCAGGTGCTTTTATTGCTGCAACATTGAGAATGCCCCGCAACTTGTTCACAACAAGAGTTGCCAAAGCCTCCCCAGTTACATCCTCAGCAATAATGAGCAGAGGAGCTCTCAACTGTGTCACTTTCTCTAACAGAGGAATGATTTCCTTTATCGTCGAAATCTTCTGATCAGTCACTAGGACCTTGGCATTTTCAAATTCCACGATCAACTTCTCAAGATTTGTGACAAATTGTGGGGAAATGTAACCTCTGTCAATCTGCAATGTGATGATTCTTACATTGAAAACAAAGACACATGAAATGACAAAAGAACAAGAGCTGAAACATGTATATAAGATGGCAAACCTCCATCCCTTCCTCGACATCAACTGTTGTCTCAAATGATGATGAAGATTCAATAGATAAAACACCATCAGGGCCAACTTTATCAATAGCATCGGCAATCATGTTGCCCACGAACTCATCATTGCCAGCTGAAATAGTGGCAACAGCTGCAACAAAAGATAATTGGTCTTTAGGATAATAATAACTCTTTAACCTACCACTTCCCCCATGGGATAACAGAAAAAAAAGAATATTTGCTAATTGCTGCAGCTACTCATATGTTTCTTTCTTCATCAAAGATAATATCATCTGAAACACATACGAACATGTATAGCTATTGAAAGTTTCAGATACCTCAACAAACAAATATTTTACCTTCAATGTCACCTCGTCCCTTCACTGGCCTTGCTTTCTTCTCGAGCTCTTCAACTAGTTTCTGCACAGTCTTGTCAATCCCCTTCTTGACAGAGACAGGATTTGCACCAGAGGTAACACTTAACAAACCCAACTTAATGATTTCACGAGCAAGGACAGAAGCAGTTGTTGTCCCATCACCAGCTGAGTCATTGGTCTTGCTCGCAACCTTCAAAACACAACACAAAAACCCATAAATATCAGCTCGTTCTTATTGTAACGCTTGAAGAAGCATAAAAAAATCAACCAAAAAAGCTAACAAAAAATTACGAATGACAAAGTGCTGGAGGAAGAACGGAAGCTATGAAGAACCTGCAGTACCTCTCGTATCAGTGCTGCACCAGCATTCTCCATGGGATCAGCCAGCTCAATAGACCGGGCAATTGTGACGCCATCGTTAACTACTTTTGGATTCCCAAACTCATCCAACACCACGTTCCTCCCTTCATTTGTACCACAACATCAAGAACAAAATCATAATCTTGCAGCTCCATTTATAATCAAGAAACAGCATTTATAATGCAACTAAAAATGCAAGATCCGACTTTCTAATTGATCCCGAAGCAGAAACATTGTGTTTAAGATGAACATCTTTCTAATCGATACGTGACAAAAAATGGCATATTGTCTCGTTGTTGACATGCAAAAATCCATGATGGCTGAAGCGGCAAATAGGACAGAAGCATGCACAAAAAGGGCAATGGTTGCCACATCAGAATAGGAGACAAAGTTAAAACCAAAATACCTCTGGGACCAAGGGTGACTCCCACGGCGTCCGCGAGCTTCTCGACGCCGGCTTGGAGGGAAGACCGGGAGCTCTGGTCGAAAGCGATCTCCTTGGCCTTGGCCCGCACTACCATCGGTTTGTAGCCGCCGCTCGCCCTTCTCCTCAGTCCCGATCGCTGCACCCTCGAAGACCAAAATCCGATCACACAAACCACAACAATAACCGACAAGTAGCGCGATCACCGAGAAAGCATATCAAAACGGGAGAAAGAGACCTGTCGAGGGGATCCGATGAAGGAAGCGACCGAGATCGCATTCGCCGCCGCCATTACGTCACAGGAGAGATCGGGATCGGATGCAGAAATGGAACTCGAGGCGGCTCGAGAAAATGGGCGAGCGTAGGGAGATCGCGATCGGGAGTAGAGAGTTTGGAGGTCTCCAGAAGATTCGACTTCAAGCAAGCAAAAGTGGAAAGTGTGCTCGGTTTAGGGTTTAAGCGATACGAACGAGTCCCGCTGATCAACACCGGACCAGACCGGAACGGCGGGCTAACCGAAATCGGGAACCGGATTTCGCAGCTTCGGTTCGTTAATTGGACCGTTCTTGCATTGACCATAGTATCGATTGATGTTAGAAGTAGTTAGATATATTCATTTTGCATGAAGAAAATTATTTTATGTAATCCTTAAATAATATTTTAAGCCCTATTATAAAATTAATTTTGGAGTTTCCTTAGTAGAAGGATCGGTTGATTTTAGATTGATGTCATTTTAGCACTTATTTATCTTTGATAAAGAAAAATAAAATATAGTTGATGATAAAGTTCAAAATTATGTATTTATAAATTTCCCTAAAGTTAGTAATTTACAAAATTTGCTCCTCTAAAGCTTAAAAACTTAAGAGAAGTCATTGTAGTTGATCGTTAGTATAAACTTTGAGTTAAAAAATGACGTTAATATCATTTCAGAAATATTAAAAAATAATAGATCAAATAATCAATGAGAATTATAAAAAGATAATTTTGGCACACAAATTTAAAATATTTGCAAAACATAAATTTTTGAAGGAATATATATAAACATTTTAATTCAAAATAACAAAATATGTTATTTCCCAAATTTGAAAGAATGGATATGCGAAATCCCATAAAATTGATTAATATATGACACGGAAGATTTAGCATACAAAGCAATGTTAACACTGCTAGAATGTGATGGGGAAGATATCAACAATTTAAACAGATCTAATTAAGACATTTCGACAACTTTGCAAGCCAAGCAACAACAGTTCTATAGTTAATCATTCTAAGGAGTATTACATGGATAAAAGAAGTATACAGAATCTACTTGGTAAGGATGGCATTTTAGCATGTTGACCTTGGACATGGTAAAACTAGTTCCTTCTGATATTGACTTGAGGAACCATAAGTTCTCCAAAAGAATTGGAGAACAGTATGCCGCAACTCCACACATACAAAGATCGATAGAAATTTCATCATCTTCGTCATCGTCATCATAGAAATCAACATGTCCGTACAAGTTTTGCCTTCCATCCCTGCCACGCCAGCCGCATATTTTCACCCATTTTCCAATCCCCGATAATTCTCTTCACACCTTTCTTTTTTGTTTCTCCCGGTTTTCCTTTTTCCGAACAACTCCTTAAAGGGGCTTCTGGTGCTCCAGTCTCTGTGCTTTCGATGATCCGTTGCACCATCTCCAGCACATCACTCATCTTGGGCCTAGACTTCGGTTGCCGAACCAGGCACCTATTTGCCACTGTGACAAGTTTTGATGCAGATTTTAAAGAGTAATCACCTTCTAGCTTTGGATCCATGATTATACGGATCTTCTTGACATCAGTTATATAGGGTCTGACCCATTCTAAGAGCTTCTGTTCACCTTTCGGACGGTTTTTATCTATTGGCTGACGCCCTGTGATAAGTACATACAGAAAAACTCCATAGCTCCATATATCACTCTTGGCAGTCAGCCGACCAGTTTGCATGTACTCAGGAGCTGCATAGCCAAAAGTTCCTACGACCTGTTCAATGTTATGATGGAATTAGGAATAGTTATTATAAGTAGTATTTAATCATACAGCAGTTCGTGGAAATAATAATAATTCCATTTGATAATAAATCAGGTTACTAATTCTCTTTCTTTATTAGTACCAGTTGGGCAGTTGACAAAAAATTTTCCCATGATATCCATAATCCTGCTACTGGCATATCTTTGGGTCTAAAGAACTTTGTGCTACTTCTATAACTGTGGCACAAACACATTGCACCATCTTCCCTGTGCCTCTGAGCTCATCCACGCAGCCATTAGAGCTGGTAGACATTCCCAGTCCACCCAGACTCAGGAGATTGACTCCTAGTCAGCCATGGACCACAGCAGTCCTTGCCTCAACTGGACAATGCTATTAAGCCTAAATTACAGCTCAATAAGCCAGAGGAACTGCGGTCCAAGTCTGAATAGGAACAGGAGTTGATCAGGTCCATCATGAACCTATCAAGACTAGCATAGGGAAACCAGACACCAATTTTGACAAGGAATAAGGACCAGTTGCATCTTCGCGGTTGCCTAAAGTAGAAGCACAAGATAGGCAATTCGGCCAAGATAAACAAGGGCATAATAGCAATATTTTGCAAGGATTTCTTCTCCTTTTACAGTTAGTTGACTTCAAATAGGAAACTGACATCTGTAAATAATTCCTGTGTGTCTCTTTAAGACATCTTTGCACATAAGTACCACAGTTGGCCCACATAGATGATCGATATAACCTGACAGCTTCATACAAACTTTTGACAAGAGCAGTGGCAAGTACTTATTCTAGAATATATGGTATGAACTAACCACAACTAATAAAACCATGACAACTGAAGAAACCTAAAAGCGAAGAGAATAACTACAAAGACATTTGTGCACTTGTAATCATGTAGGCATGAGATTGTCATCATCATGTATTTGGAAAAGAAATTAACTCACTCAAATCCTACCCATGTATCTATGAAGCAAATGTGGGAGCTTCACAATACCATTCATATATTTATGCAAAGCATTAGAAGGAATAAGGTATTAATACTAGATAAACATAAGGATGTCATAAGAAATGTGGTAGCTAGAAATATTAGGCCATTTAGCATCACTTACTGCCGTGGAAACATGGCTTAGTCCTTCTGCTGGTCCTTGTCTAGCCAAGCCAAAGTCAGACAATTTTGCATTCCAGTCCTCATCCAAGAGAATGTTGGAGGCTTTAAAATCACGAAAAATAATCTGCCAAATAGAAAAGAAATTCAGCAACACAATATGTGGATACAATGAGATTAACTATTTCTTTCAATTTAAATTGAATTGCTTGAGTACATGACCAACAAAACCAACTGTTAGAGTTGTTGTCTTTAATTTTTGACAAATATCAGAAAATGTTCCATGGAAGCAAACAATAAATATCATGTAGTTGCTAAGAACTTGGAAAAAATACATTCAACACAGGCAACTCTTGACCAGAGCTAACCAGAAAGGATCCAATCTGCTTACAAGCATTACCTGCAAGTAAGTCAGGTCTGTCCAAGTCTGGGATCATCAATGTCAGTAGTTAAGGTAAAAAACTGATACGAGGATTCAATTGCCACTAAAAGTCAACTAACAAAGATGATGACAAAAGGACTGGGAAGATTTTGTCTAAGCTTTTCTTTTGAGCGATCAAGCACTAGCTTTATACCCTATCTTACAACACCATCAGGGACCCTATATGAACAAGCTCAAAGTCACTTGTAGAAAGCATGAAGTATGACGAGTTCAGACTCAAGATTTGAGGTCACAAAATATTGTGTTCTTGACATTAATCAACAAAGAGTCCCTAACAGAGATAAAATAGAGGTGGAGGCTAACTAGACAAATATCCATCCTCAAGGTTCGACATGCTTGTCAGAAACAATTGTGCTTTGACTTCAATATCAACTTTTACTAAAAAAAAATTATACTTAATATCTTCATTATCTAAAGTCTTCTCCACTACAAAGTTCTAAACATCAAGCTTAGTAGTATAGCATAAATCTAACAAACTACATCCCCTGATAGAAACAAATCAATTATAATCAATCAGATCCTATAAGTAAAACAAATTAAGGACAAACTAAACTAATAGATAAGTTGATCTGAGACCTGAAAATCCATTTCTTCATGCAAATGTGTCAATCCACGAGCAGCATCAAGAGCTACCCTTAATCTCATGGACCAAGAGAGTGTCGTCCTAGATAGAACTGACAGGTGGTCCTCCACACTTCCATTAGGCATATATTCATATACAAGAAGGCGCTGTATTCCCCTTTCATCATCTTCAGCACAATAGCCTACTAATTTGACGAGATTTGGATGCTCCAGCACCCCAAGAACATTTACTTCTGTCAACCATTCCTTGTGCCCCTACAAGAAACATGATGAGGGTTCCTTCCCACTTAATTGCATAATTCTAAGCACATAATGCAAAATAAAATTTGATAAACAAGACTACGAAATGTACATACAAACAGAAGTCAATAGAAGGCAGAAACATCAGTCGTTACCATCCATCATAATGTGAGATTTCTATTAGAATTTCTACTTTTACTGTGACAAAGACAATATTATCATAGATATATAGCCTCCTAGCATGCTTATAGAGATGAAAACATTTCTCAATCATCCTCACTAGTTGGAAACATCTAACTTGAGATCAATCCTTCACTCAAACACAAAGGACTAAAATTAGATATATTACATATTACACATGGAATCACTAAAAGAAAGAAACAAATGCTGTGTTGACATGGCAACTTGAAAACTTAGATCAAATTGCCAAAAACTTAGTACATAAGCGGCAGGAAGACATAAAATCATGCAGTATGACAGAAGGATGGTTTATATCATTGTTATTTGGCTAAAACAGTGTAGGAGCACATGTTTATTCTGTATTCACATGTCTCAATGTATGATTTTCAAACACTGAGAACAAAGTAGTGTGTGAATAGGGTGGCCTAGGTGAGCATAATCTAACCATAGCATGGCTAGCTTACCAAGAAAACCAATTAACAATCATAAAAATTTAGATCATACTTCACCATGAAGGTTTAAGCTCCTTAGGTAAAGTATGTTCATATGTCCATCTGATGAAGCCAATTGTTCAGTAAGGATAAAAAGCAAAACACCAGAAATCACAGAGCAAGAAAAAATATGCAAAAAAAACCTTGCCTGCAGTCCTTTGCGATTCAGTTGTTTCACAGCTATCTCAATCTTTGCATCCGGATCATCAAGGCTCTTGATTGTTCCCCTATAAACACATCCAAAGCCACCTTCCCCAACCATGAGTGACCGGCTAAAGTTCTTTGTGGCATTCCTCAGCTCAGAAAATGTGAAAACCCTGAGATTAATTGGTCTCTGAGAGAAACTAGGGTATTGCGGCCTTCCCACTGAATCAGTACCAGAATCAGTGACATCCCCCGAGTTGAACTCAGATCCTGATCTCCTCATGTCACGCTCGGTTGATGTGGTACTGTTCGACCGAACAGATGCAGACAGTCTTGCCTGGAGCTCCGCCTTTGTCGCTCCATTTCGGAACGCGAAACACTTCATATTAAAGAACCTAAATTTGGTGTTATAGATTTTCACATTAGTCACAGGAGAATCGGAAGCCTCGGAATACCATACTCACTCAAAAATCCTAAAATCACCTTTCAAAACCCTAATTAAATGGAAGAAGACCAAACACTGTCTTTCATATTCAAGATAATTTTGTTCTGTAAAGAACAAGAACCAAATAGAAAGGAACGGAAGATAAAGACAATACACATAATCCCTACAAAATGATTCTCTAGCTTATAGGGTTTCCCCAAGAAAATTCAAATATTAACATAAATGAATTCCTTTTTCTTCTTTTAGTCACGTGAAGGAAAATGGATTTGTGATTCAACTCGCATCAAATTTTATCTTTGTAAGAGGTAAACGAACGTCTGTGCACACAAATTAAGAAAGGGAGAAACAAATCCACCGTTTTTTTCACGTTAATCTCACAATTTTTCATATTTAAGACTCCATTGTCACTCACTCGCTACAATTAGCCTTGAAGATCCCATGACTGAAATGTAATCCCTAACCAACTCAAAACCCATCTTCCGTCAAATCAGTCCTCAGATATCCGTTTTCCATCGAATAGCAAAGACTAAACATTAGTCAAGCTCAAGTTCGGGGGAAAAGGCCCAGCTTTCAGAAAAAGAGGCTTCAGCGAATTTGAACTCACCTTCTTCTCCGACAGCCAAGAAACCGGCGAACGGGAGCAGACACTCGAGGCAACTGGCGGATCTTTCCCGAGACGAGGTCCTCACATGCTCGATCAAAGACCAGCGACTCGCCAAGTCAAAAGCGAGACAGCTGCACCTTCCGCTCACCCACCATATAGCGAGAAGAGAAGTGAAGGGAAGTAATTACGACAACCATACGAGGGACGAAACGACAGACGAGGCAAATGAGAGATCGAGATTCTCTCCCCCTGATGACCGTCCGAGACGGTGGGCGCCACCTCGAGGCTGATTCTTGGCCGTTAATTTGCACCGGACAAGGCCAGTAACGGAGCTCGGATGCCTGCACCACACGCTACGTATCACGTGTACTGCACGTGAGATCGCGGACGGGGGCCCACCTGGCCGAGGGGAGACCATCGCGACCGTCCGTTTCGCCCACCTCATCGGTAGCGAGTCGCGGGTGGCTGCGGAGGACGGCGATTTCGGTTGTTCACCACGTAGCGGGGCCCACAAACTAGCGTCCACTAGCTCGTCGGTCAACATTGACGGTTTGAAATCTGCGTGTCGTCCGGAAGCTTTTTTTTCTTTTCTTTATATATATATATATATATATATATATATATATATATATATATATATATATATATAACAATGAGTGATACGGAAAATATATATATCGATAACATAGTTAGCGAGAAAAAAAAAGGGACCGATCAATAATTTAACCATGCATATATTAGTCTAATATAAAATACTAAAAAATATTTTATTATAACTTAAAAAAAAATATTTTATTATAACTTAAAATACTCCGAGGGTTAAACCCATTAGATCATAATAACCAATATCAAATTTTAATTATTGTTTACTTAAAATTTTTATTTTTTATTATAAAATTGACTAAAACATTGAAGTGATCATGAATCCCACTTAAAAACTTCGTTGTAACGTCGAATTGATTTCTTGAGACCCTCTTAATTCCATACAAGCTTCCTCCATATACAAGCTCAAATTAAGTCATGTTGATCCAAATATTATAAATATTCACTAAATCATTTTGGTGCCATCTGGTTGACCTATGTTGTAAGAATATCATCCCATCAATCCACTTAATGAGTGTCTGAGCAAGGGGTACTCCATCCTTAACCCATAATACATTCACTCATAATAAATAATAATTGACGTTTCTAGCTCTTGACACTTTCATCTCGATGCAAACCACTAATATAGTATTGATAATTGTTCAATGATCGTGTCTTCTCTTCACTGGTGGAACCCCCACCCGAAGATCTTTGTAGAGATCTTCTTGAGCCTCACTTATCAGATTTAGATGTTGATCAGGGTGATGTAATCAGTCATCCCTTCCTCTCTCTCAATTAGCTGAGCCAGTGATGGCACTAGTCCTAAAGCAATTAATAGCCCCGTCGCGCTGCCTTGATACCTTGGTCGATTGTGACATATATCACTCAAAATGCCCTTGATCGATTGAGCACCAACCAAATAGAGCATCAATGGACCTCATCACCCTTAGTCAATGACTCCCAAGTCTAAGGCCCAATTTGTGGACTCTACCAAGTACATCCTTTGGGTGTAACTATAATAGATGAATCGATGGCTAGAAGACATGCGTAAAAAATTTCATATGGCAAGGGAAGGAGATTTAACTTCACCTCAATCGAGTCCCAGTTCATCCAAAAAATCCAAAATGAGTTAATTATGACAAGTTTCTGAATTTTGATCTTAGAGGCATTTGATGGGTGTGGATCTCACCGAGTATGTGGTGACTTTTATGCTCAAATAGCGCTACACGATAAATCAGAGGTCTTGATGTGTCACATATTATTTATAACACTACGAGACATGACCTAAAAGTGGTACTCTTATCTCAAACCACTTTCGATAAACTCTTTCACATAGTTGGTCAAAAAGTTCGAACAACATTTCATTAGGAATATGCACCCCAAGCATTAAAATGCCACCCTTCTAGTGATCTACCAAGTAGAGGATGAGATGTTGGTGTACTTCATCACAAAATTCATAACTAAAGCATGAGGAATTACTAAGACCGACCCCATGGTCCTTATATAAGTATTCATAATGGGCTGAGGTAATCTCGGTTTTTCTAGTATCTAATAAAGAGGTAATCGACCATTGCACCCAAGATGCTCCAACATGACAACTAATATATTCTATCTAAATTTAAGATCTTGTTAAAGTACAAATAATCGCATAAACACCCAAAACAAAAGTGATCTGTCTCATCTCTCACCTTAACGTCACCTCAATAAAGAGTAAGCGAGAGGGGCCATCCTGACCATGTGTGGACATGATCCCCCTCAATATGTCATGAACTAAGGTCTTTCTCCAAATTAAGGTGAAGGGGTTACTATAAGACTCCCACCCAATAAAATTTTTATTTGGAATTAGAGACAAATCCAACTACTACTAGTTTCATGGAGACCACGATCATGACACTAAGGATTGCTACCTTTGCTTAGCCATCTTGGCTTCAAGGTAAACCACCTTTGCTTCTAATTTAGTCATGATCTGTGGGTCAACCTTTATTCTTCAGCTCGACTACTTCAACTTGGATCTTGTTAACTTCTTTTGTCATATGAATGATGACTCCTAAGCTCTAACTTGATCGACCAACTTTATCGATAGTGATTATTATAAAAAGGAAGAAACATAAACCATCATAAGTTCTAACCACAATAGACCAAAGGGCAACTTGGGAAATTAGAATCACTTAATGCTATTGCTCATTTTATCATTGTGACAGTGAGAACCTCGAAAAGCAAGGTATATAATTCCTTACCCAATGGGGGGATCAACACTCTTAGATGCCCTGAGTTCTTTCCACTTGTGTGCCAAGGGCTTCCCTTTCATCAAATCAATAGCTCTGCCATTCGGATTGTTGAGAAGGAAATTGACCAATGTTTATATAGGTCCTAAACATAGCTGCATTGAGACCGCTTCTACGTTGGATCTCTAATTCTTGCTTGTTGATCGCTCGGTGCTTCTAAGATCTTTCTCTTTTGCACCACCCCTTACTCCCATGAGGATACCTCCATTGGAGCAAACTATTGAGAGATCATAAGGTAGGCATCTTGAGCATTGCCTTATCTTGGTAGAAGCGGTAGGGGCCAAGGAGCCTATTGCAATCGAGGTAAAGGGAGTCAGACCTAGAGGTGGCTGTTACTACTATCCTCATCTTCATTTTCCCAAGATTTATACCTACGAACAAAAAAAGGTATTAAGTGTCATATCAAGTAAAACTTCGAGGGATAGAACATACTCTAAGGAGTCGGGCTTAGGTTGACACTGATAAGCCAACCTTCCTCCATGTGCTCAAAGGCTAAGAAAGATGACAAGGCCTCTCTTAACTGAAGCGCCTGACTCTTTTCGACTATTAGGAAGGTGTATTAATGTATAAATAGAGGTGTACATGCACGTTAGGTCATATGGATGATGCCCGATTCGAGGTACCTTCATTTAAGACTCGACTAGGTTGAGTACCTATGGCGTAGGCATTCCAAATATTTGAGAGTCAAAATTAAGTCTTGATCATAGGCCTTCTTCATAATTTGAATATCTTTGATAATGTTCGAATCCACTTTGGTTGTCTCCACTAAGGAGTAGGAAGATGACGTACTCCTTGCCCTCGGGCTATCAGAGGATAGGTTCCTTGACCCTCTTAGTTACATGTTGGTTAAAAGAATAAAACTTAGGTAATAAGGAAGAAGACATCTTCCAAACCTAACAAAAAATACTGAAAATGGTGCTTCAAAGGTTTAAGAGGCAATAAGTGGGGATAAAAGATAGAGCTCAGGGAGCAAAGAGAGCCTCACAGTTGTGGAGATGGCCCCTTTATAGCTCTTGACCACCGCTTCAACATCTAGAAGTCCCATCAAGTTTCCTGCTCAAATTTCCCTCTTAATCTTCCTACTCATCGACTGAATATTTTGTAAATTTTTGCTTTGCTGAAGCATTGATCAATACAAGTGTTAACTGGCTATTTGAGAGCTTCTTGATGCATCCTTTTAAACTAAGCATTAAAATGCCCTTGATACATTCTTCTCTGGCTAAGTATCAAAATGTGTGTGATACATCATTCTTGGGCTAAGCATTAGAAGTCGCTTAATATGCCCTCTTTGGGCCAGGTGTCGAAGGCAACCTAATGGGTCTTTTTTAGACTAAGCCTCGGTAGTACCTAATGCATTAGTCATCGATGTATTGAGCCATTACTTGGTTATACTTCTGAATCCTTCAAGTTACCAAAGTGTGCCATCCAAGGGGAGAAAATGATAGAAGAAATATTTATCATAATTATGACTTAACATGTGACAATATAATTAGTAAAGTAAAAACAAATCCCAATCAACAATTAAGTCATGTGAATGATCACATGATACCACGTAATATTCTCCTAGGTTAAGCCCACTATAAAAGTGTACTAGGTCACAATAATTGAAGTTAATTACTATTTATTAGAAACTCTCATTTTGACTAGAGCGTTAGAGATACTATATTGGGAACTATATTCGACTTTGATGTTTGTGTAGATTAATATCTGATCGAACTTGTGGAACTTTATTAACTTTATATAGACATCTTGCGTAGGTTCGAACCAAGTTAAGCTGATCCAAACATCACCAAATCATAGAGTTAATTGGCTAGACCAATAGATCAAATGGTTCAATCATAAATTTTATTTAAATTATTTTAAATATATTATATATTTATATTTATATTTCATATAATAAAAATCTAAATTTTAATCATCCAAATAATTGAAAGTATATAACCAAAACATGACCATACAATAATAATAATGCATGCAGCATTGTATTGGAAATGAATGTTGAACCATAGATATCCGAAGTCAACCAAAAACGTCACTAGCTTTAAGTAACATAAGGTACACGGAATCATAAGATTGAAGACTCGTTCATGGATGTTCTATATAAATAAAAATAATTAAAAAAATAACAATAAAAGATAAAAATGATGATATGAAAAGTATATATATATATATATATATATATATATATATATATATATGTGATATGAAATATATTTGTTTTCAGTTAAAACTGGACATGTGACATCGTAGTAAGTAAAAAATAAATAAATAAAGATCCTTAACCGACAACCACGCCAGTTAGCCAAAGTCAAATAGGAAATATTCTAAAAAATAT